TATTATTAGCAATGTTCTTCCGACGTCTGATTTCTTTTTAAAAAATGCGTTTCTAAAGTGCATAAACTTTTGGGATTGACTATATAGCCAATACATCCTTAAACGAAATTCCTGATCCTAGAAACTGAACAACAGTAAAATCGATTGTTGGCCATCGAAACGAGAAATCCATCACGAATAATAATCAGTGAAAACAATCGAAGGAAATATCTACTGCTTTCGAAACGTCAATTCGAATGATAAAACTAATATTGCACATTTTTTTTCGCTAATATTTTGTAAAACACAGATAACTAGTATGATACAACTGAATCGCGTAATGGAAATTCTTCTACAGTTGTATTTTTAAGTGAAGTGACAACGCTTTGCAATTACACGTATCAAGAATAGAGATGTAGTTACAAAAGAACGAACACGTCAGCGATATGATCGCTTAATGGAATCGTGTCGATTACTCGATTTTATTTGACATCGTTCTTGTGCATACGAGACGATTCGCAATAAAAATGAAGAGTGACTCTTCAAAGAAGTCGATACATATATGAAAATACATAAAAATTTGCGAGAGAGGATATGTTTGCTGCAATGTCGCATATGTAACTGCACGAAAACAATAGAAAATAAATAACAATAGATAAATACATGTTTTCAGACTTAGACTCCAAAACAATAGCATGTTTCATATTGATTTTCTCAAGGATACCAATTTTTTTACTTGCCAAATAGTCTCATTGCTATTCACATATACGAATAAATGGACAAGTTCCAAAGGCGAAACTATAGTTTGGCCAGAAAGAAAAACTCGAGAAAATCAATGCTATTAGTTTAGCTAGGAGTATTAATAAATAATTAAAACAAATACGATGCATCACGATTTAGTTCGCGCTGATTTCTTATAAGAAAAATCGTGTGTATAGTCGAAATATGATGCACACGTGTAAAAAATTATATCTTAAAATAGTTTTAAAAAATTTCAATTTTCAAACAACTCTTTGGCGATCCGCTTTAATAAAACGCGTTTATAGAGTTTCTCAATAGAACAAGGCTAAGAGAGCCCTTATTTCAAAGGATGACACTGACAATTCGCAGTGAATTAACTAATCGCTTTTGCTAGCACGCGTATCCTCTCTCGTTTGATCGGCATAGAAACGCGTTTAGTGACTTGAAAGCAAACGATGCAGTGCTGACAACGAATATTACCGTAACCCTCTCATCGATCTCAACCCGATTTGTAATTGTTTTACTTAATTTCCATCACCGGACAAACAAAACGCGTGTAAACGTTTAAAATAACCGTCCAACGGTTATCGACACAACCGGAATAATTACCGTGCAAATATACGGAGAACGAACGAAGCGATTACGTCAACCAAATGTTGAGTTGATCGCGTAACCGCGTTCAAATTAAGTATTAAAACGCGTCAATAATTTAAAATTGGATAGCATATGGCAACTAAAAAGCTTTTATCGGCCTTGTTCCAGGCATAAACGTGAAAAAGAAAGTATTACGAGCATTAACCGCGTTAGTTTCCCACCCTAATCTACCATAAAAACGAATATACTTTTTTTATACCATAGCAGTTCTCTTTTCAAAGAAGACTGCACGAGAAATGTGTAATTCGCTTTAAGCTGACGGGAATGATATGCTGAATAATTGAAAAATCGTAGGCGCGCGCACGTGCATGTCGTGATTATTGTTATTTACGTAGGGTGTATGCGGCGAACGAATGAATGTATTCGATCATGAGCGTAAGCGCGCGCGCGAGCACGTTCTTTTTTAACGCTTGTCGTGCGTAGACAGCGCGTATTTTTTCTTCCTTCTAACATAATACAAGTATATAACAAGTACTGTATGCATAATAGCATAAATATATCAGATATTACAAGAACACCCACGAGCGGATGTCGATCGTTTAATGTACACGTTGATATATACAAAAGAAACTTCAGAAAAAAAAAAAGAAAAGTCGAAGAGAAAAGAAGTTCTTTCTCTTTACATAAAGCTTTAATATTTGACTTTCGCTTTTACTTCCTCTGCGACACCACCCCACCTGAGCTTGTAGACACGCGACCGCCACTGTATCAGAGGGTCTAGAACCGCTTGAAGAAAGAGATAAGGCCTAGTGATCTCGCAGAGCAACCACCCGCATACGAACTCTAATTTGTTGAACGGCAGCGGACCGTTTTGCACGAGGCTGAGCAGCGTCCAATCGAGCATGAACCACAATAGTATGTGTACAAGATAGAAAACAAGCGAGTCCCACTCGAAGAGCACGCTGGCCGCCCAGGAAGCACAGGCACCTAACACTAAACACTCGCTGAGCGGCTCGAGAACGATCGTGCTGGGCAGCATGGCCACCCTGAGCTTCGTCCACCTCCGCAGCCTTGCCTGGAACGAGTGCAGCTCGCAGTGACCGCTGTTCTGTAACGCCGGCTGCGAGGAGACGGTGATTCGCCAGCCGCGGTCGGTCAACGACTTTGCGTAGAAAAAGTCCTCTGCGAGATACACGCCGAATGTCTTTAACCCGCCTACCTCGTCGAGCGGCGCCTTCCTCAGCAGCGCCGACATCCCTGTGTGACAGTTTATCCTAAGAATGTCCGCGGCCAGGTAGATGCGCGATTGCACCGTGCCAAAGAATATCTTCTCGTACGCGGCGGCGAAACCCTCGCGATCGCACGTGAACGGCATCTGATGCACTAACGCGACGTTGTCCGTCATATAATTGACCATATCCAACAGCGTGTCTTCTTTCATCTTGATACCACTGTCACTGATCAACACCAGCTCGTGCTTAGCCGCTTCATACGCCGGCTGCATATTGTTGATCTTCGGATTCACGCCCACGTTGCGCCCGCCGATAAACAGTCTCGCGTTCACCTCCGGGTAGTTCTCCATCAACTTGCGCACTAACATTAACACTGGATCCGACTCGTCCTCCACGCAGAACAACAGCTCGTAACAGGGGTATTGCATCGTGAAGAATGTTTCTAGATTGTTGAACAGATTCGGATCGACACCCATCAACGGCTTTATCACTGAGACACCAGGTAAGGGCGTTTCGTACGTTGGCGATTGAACCACTTTGCGGTGCAGCTTCCAGTGACCGACGACCAGTGCCAGTGCATGAACGATCCACATTGAACACCAGAATACCATGAAAAATATTGCGAACCCGTAGAGGGTATATATCATGGAGTTCATCTTCGAATTAAAGATACTCGCAGCTCGGAGGGCTTAACCTCCGATGTTCTCCTGGCTCACCCTCCTGTTACTCTGCTCGCACACACTTTCCTTATCTGTCTCTCGTGTCGTCAGACTTATTCGATGTTTTCGTGCCTCGAAATCGAACGAAAGCCCGGCATCCTTCCGGGACGTATGGAGAACGATGTCCGCGGCATCCTCGACGACGTTCCCGTCGCGCCGCGATCACGGACATCCGGGCAGAGGCAGAGTCGCGCGGGCCATCGATGATGCTGTAATGACTTCCACTTTGGTGTAGCACCGTTTTCACGGCGGTCACAACGACGACGACGACGACGAAGACGTGGCCACCGCTTCCAACACATTCACGCGGTGGGCTTAGAAGGTGGCTGCGTAGCCGCCCGGTCCACGGCTACGCGAGCACTCGAGAAAACGCCGGCACGCGCTGTGCCGTCGGAGGGCACACGAACTCTCTCGATCCTCTTTCGGTTTAACGCCCGACAAGGACCGACTTGCGAATCACTGACATCCAATGCACCGACGCGATCCTCCCCAATTTTTACCGATGCATCGAACTCCCCTCTCGCAGCCAACGACGCGTCAACGTACGTGCCTGTTTATCTGTTTTTCCTTCGCTCAGAGTGTCTTCGACCGATGCACACCTTTCATTACGCGAATCGGCGGTGTTCGCGGTAGATGTACGTCGTTTTGTGGCTGTGACTCGCAGGACTCCCTTGTTCGAGGTTCACCGATCCTTCCGGTACTTCATGTAAGGACGTTTTTGCGCTCACAGACAACGGCTGGTTCCTTTCATAACGATGCGCCTACGCGGCCTTGTCCTGTCCCGTTTCGATCGACTACGGCACTGCCGTCGCATGCCGATGCATGTCGTGTCGATGACCAAACGTTTGCTGACGCGCAACTATTACGATCTTTGATTTGATTGCTGCCGAGCCGAGAACGACGGTTCTTAACTACCAAATGCGTATCTCATATAACAACGCACCGTCAAGCGTCGACGGGATTGACTGGCTGCGTGTAGTTGCATGTGACAGCCGGCGGCTTGCACGGCTAACTTAGAACTAACTTCAGAGTAGACGCGCTCATGCTCGTGCAGCTCCCATATAGGTCATCTGTCTACTGGCGTAGAGCGCGCGAAACTCACCGCTCTTATTTTATCGTTTAGAACGCATGGTCAAATTTAAATCTGTAGATAAACGAGTTCTTTCTCCTATCTGAGATAATCCAGTATATTCTAATTTGCCGTTCCTTTATTCAAATTCGAATGTACTGGAATGTTCGATCGATCGTTTAAGCAAACGAATCAGTTATTTACATTTTAAGCTAAGGCTAGACAACCGGGCAGAATATCGAAGTACCATCAAAGAATATTTTCTTTCATTCAGAATTTATTTTATCACTATACATATTTGTATTTAAGTCCGCATAACGAATATGTATATATAAAGAAGATTGGGATCGTCTCTATGTAATTGCGTATAATGTTGGCTATAGGCGTAGAATTGTTATCGCTTTAGACCAACGAATTTATCTGATATCTTTATCGTGTTACTTGACTTAATCAGTCGTCCGACGATTTGCATTTGCGTAAATCGCGTTACTGCCACGTAAAATGTGAAACCGGACATGTGCATCGAGTTTTCTGATTATGAGTCGAACTACGCGTCACACGTTATTGATTGCTGCTTTAAAGAAACGTGATTTAAATACAAAGGAGTAAACAACAGATTCATGCTTTTTATATAGTAGAAAACCAATTTCATAAGTTGTACACCAACGAACATATAAAGAAATGTGTAATTTCTACGAAAGATAATAAATACTAAATATTTTCATATATACACTTAATATTTTTATATATGTACATCGAATTTATGTTCTAAATTTCTTGAACAATGGATGCTTGTTAGCCGTTGATGAACTAGGAGCCTTTTTATATTCGTAATAAACTGCGTCGTCTGCCCCAGATATCGAAGTCATGTTTCCAGCTTTGCGTATAATCTGGAACAAGTATAACGTTCAATAGAGATCGTTGAATTTGATTGACAATATGTAATTATATTAATTTCGCGAGACTAACTGGTCTTGGCCCTTCGCCAGGTATCCTCTCCTCGTCTGCGTCCATGTCACTGGCGGAGAGAACTTGTTGCAATAAATGGCCTTGCTCTTCATGAGATGAATACATCAAATCCGGCTCCTATTCAATGACAAAAATAGGAATTGTAAAGTGTTATACATATAATATTAGATTTGACTCGTAAATGTATGCTACACGCACATCCTCCATTCCTGCAAGCTTTGTAATAACTTTATAAGCATATCCCTGATTAACGAGGAAACGTTGACGCTTCCTCGAATAATTCATCTCCATCGTGTCTTGCGATACGAGAGTGTAGAAAAATGCATTGTATTCCTCTGCGATAGCGCCTGTGAATAGATATAAATATGATATCTGTGGTGATTCTAGTGCTCATCATGAGTACCTTTTTTAGCTCTCAAAATTCGTCCTAAACGTTGAGCCTCCTGGCGTCTTGACCCGCCGTGCGAGGATATTTGGACTAAGACATTAGCTTCCGGTAAATCGAAAGAAGTATCTGCTACTTTGCTCACGAATATCGTGTTCACTTTAGTATTGAATTTAAAATTTTGCAAGATTTGAATCCGCTCGCTCTGAAATTAGTTCATCATTTTTACTTTGCGATCGATACGATTTTTATTTGTACTTACTTGACTAGTGGGCCCATAAATATACGGTTTATTCATTTTAATGGCGTAGTGCTTCAAGGCAAACACGTTGTCTGAGAAGACGATGGTTTTGTCGCCACGTCTTTCGTGATATCGAATCAAATATTGGCAAGCACGAAATTTGTTCGGATTCATCACGTAAAGCAACTTTAAACAAAACCTTTGTTTAGAACTCTTATACGCAGAGTGAATTAAATTCGGATTAGATAATTGCTTACCAGTTTTTTACTCATCTTGCATCCAAGATATTCTCTGTAAAATTCAGGCGTCATCGGGCACCAAACTTCGGCACATTGTACCCTCGCGATGAAGCCCCTTTTTTGCAATTCCAACCAATTTGCTTCGTACAATTTAGGACCAATAAGAAAATTCAAATCGGCAATCTTGTCATCTTCACGAAGCAATGTTGCAGTCAAGCCCAATTTACAGTGAGACTGAACGATAGTTAACACCCTTCTGAACATTTTAGCGGGAATTGTGTGCACCTCTGAAAACGTCATACGCATTAAGAAACATATTTCACTCGTATCAAAAAGACGTATTACCATCTAAGACCATGATTCCCCATTCCTGTTCCTGTAGCCAACGCATAGTTTGTTCCGCTTCCCACGAGCGTTTCTGTGTATGAGTGATCATCGAGTACGTCGTGATCAAGATTCCGCAGCCCATGGGTTTGTCCTTAGCTTCGCTCGTGAATCGGCAAATCATCGAGTCGTCCGCGGTCGACCACATTTTAAATTGCTGTTTCCATTGCTCTACCGATACTCCAGAATTACATAGTACCAGCGCACGTTTTCGAACCGTGCAGCAAGCTGTTACCCCGACTAAACTCTTGCCGGCACCGCAAGGCAAAACTATGACACCTGATCTTGCACGTCCGTTTCCGAACATTTTTCTTAAACTCTTTTCCTGATATGGTCTGAGCATAGCCGATGGCTTTAAATCGATACTGCAACCCAATTAATCATTACACTTTAATTCTATCTGATTGCCTAGTTCTGATTATTGTACTCACTTTATGTCTGGATTTACAGTATCGTTACGAAAGTCATATTCTGCTAATAGAGGATATTCCAGCTCTATACATCTTTTCTGTATCACTTCAATTTTTTCCTAGAATGTCGTATAAACGTTAGGGAATATTTTCACTTGTGTATGTAATGTTTTAATATAATAAAATATACATACCTGATTTACTTCAAAACTAACAGTCTTTAATTCATGTTCTTCCTCTTCATCCTCGTCTTCCTTATCCATTTTATCATAGAACGTAGTTATATCTTCAGGAACAGCAGCTACTTCGGCTGGAACTTGATCATTAGTCGTTTCTTGTACTTTGGTCGTTCCGGTTGGAACATTAGTTACCGCTTTTGTTCCAAACTAAAAGAATTCGAATCATTAAATGTTCTTTGATTGAACAAGAGTTGCATTATTACCTGCGGTGTCTTCGTTTTTAATTGAACATTCGTAATTATTTCATCCTTCTCATCTTCTACATTCTTCTTCAATCGACATTCTTGGATCACTGGATCCTTCAATAACTTCTGTAGTACTTCAGGAAATGGGGATTCAACAAAATACTTATTGTGCTTTAATACTAATTTTACTTTGCCATACGACAATGTACATAGTTTTATAAACTCTATAATTCCATCAGGAATACTAGTCTTGCTAAGTCTTTTTAAGTATTCTATTATGTCATGCGTTTGCAGGCCGACACTGACAGCGGCATACAATGAATAAGCAGTCAATTTATACTGTGAAACAATAAAACTTATTAATATAAAAGGCACAAGTAATGTAAAAGATTTATTGCTTGTTAATCACTTACCTCATGTATGTGTTCTGGACGACATACAGGTTCTGATATAGCTATTAAAAAATCATGCGCATGCTGGTACACAGGTGAGAAAGATTCCAAAAAGATGTGACCGTTTGGTGCCTAAAAGAATGAATTGGTCTTGAAATTTCCAAAATAAAAAATTGCAGTGACTTCAATTAGTATTAATATCTCACCACCCAGAGCGGCCTTGAGGCACAATCAGGTTTCAGAATCATTTGTGACCGATAATCTTTCGCTCCGAATTCATCTTCCAATGCAGTTTCATCGTGCTTCTCAATATCATTTTTTGCAGCGTCAGGTACACCTTCAGTTTCATTATCATCTAACGGGTCATCATCATTATACTCTTCCGGATCTTCCTTACGTTTCTTCCATTTACCTCTGTCTACGAAAGTAATCAAACATCATTGTGGTAAAATACATATGCCGCTTTTCTTCATATTTTCAATCAATTAATTCGTTGGTGATTAGGCCTCAAAGTTTATAAAATAATAAACGTCAGAGGCAAGTCAGAAAATATTTTTACATGATGAGAAATTAGGTTCGTACCATCTTTCTTGAAACGTTTCGGCGGACCCATTGTTAAATATTATTTTAATTATTAAATTGAAGATAAAATTTCCCTGATATCTAATTTCCTTTGATTTATTTACTATGTAAATCGAAATTGAAATAACTTATAAAGAAACGTGACAACTGGACCACCGCACACAATGAAAGTCCGATGCTCCGAACTGACCACTGTGTACGACGTGTACTGCGAATTGCGCTCCCTGCGCTCCACTGCCACACTGCGCACTGCGCAGCTCTGCGCTAACTGTTACCGTTTAGTTCACTGGTCGAAACTCGAAACTCGAAACAACCGATGAAACCTCTACTATCCCCACTTTAGACATCAATATCCTATCACAATCGAACGTATGTATAAGCTTAGCCGAGCTGTCATTTCTCATTTCATTAACTCCGGCTGTGAGCTTCTTCTTCGCTAAACAGCTTTACTTAATTAGATTGTATTTGTCACCTAAGATTAATCGTTTACCAGCTATGTGAACAGAAGAGTAGCAGGCAGAATCGAAGGAACTGTGTACATGATTTGACAATACTCTTCCGCACAGATAGCGCTTCATAAACCACCACCCGCACAGAACGTGTTAAATAAGAAAAAAACACCGGTACGGATGTTTTGAAATAGTAGAAAGATTTGTACAAAAGGAGTTAAACAATGCAGATTTATTGTTCATCTTGGACAACGGATGAAATTGATAATTTATAGTGAAACTGAAGAAGTTCCATCGAGGAGGATGGCGTGTGCGACACGTTACCAGGGACGCACATAAATTTCTTCAAAGTTTTAGTTGCGATTATCAATGCGAGAGTGCGTCCCGTCGTTTGTTAGTTGCTCAGCTGTTTTGAAGAATCGACGCAGCTTGGCAGTGATTGTCCGTAACTCAGCGTAGAATCGCTGCTTTCACGTCCAAACGCAAACAGATGTGGAGTGGTTGTCCAAATTTTTGACATATCTCGTCCAGGATTCAGCCGAGCAGCGAGAAACAATTTTTTCTATAGAATTTTTATAACACCGAAAGAAACGTGGGGTCACGAAGCGGTCAGGGCTTACAGAGCAGAAACGAAAAAAGAAACACATAGAAAGAAATCGCCATGAGCGAGTTAAGCCAAGAGGAAGTGAGTACCAATGCCTCGTTTCGAATCGTTATTCAATAGCGTCTGTGAGTCCGTTTTGTTTTTCCCGTTCCTATCGCTTCGCGCTCTCATCTATTCTCTTCTCGTTCCGTTGCGCGAGAGAAAAAGAGGACAGGACCAGTCCATCAGAGTGAAAAGAGTAACGAGGTAAAAAAAGTCTGGCTAACGAGGACAATAATTGCAAAATAGCCGTTGTTCTACTATGGTATTGTGTCGAGATAATTATATAACTGCAAAGAGTGAAAATTCACTTTTCATCGCGATAATTTCATTCTTTTCAACTACCCTCTCTGTTATCGGCTGCTACATTTATTTAATTCATTTTACTGTTATGGACAAAAATTTTATATCTAATAGTTTTTCGGTCTTGTTTGCCGCATAAAATAAATTACTATATTGTTGTCTTCAGATTTATTATCTTTCTTTATGTTGCTTTGTTGGGACATAAATATATACTGATTCTTTGTCTGGACCTCATGATATTTCATGTAGTCTCATATGCAAACAATTATCATAAAACTTTGGACAAAGTTATTAATAGACTCTCCCAAATAAAAGAACAATTAGAAATCATACTGTGTACTTTGAATTATAGGTAAGAAGAAGGCGTATGGCTCGTTTAGCAGGTCTGGACACCATCGGTTCAACAGCTAATTCGAATCATAACAACGGTTTAGTATCTTTAGTAACTTCCTCTGCAATGTCTATATATCTTCAATATCTGTATTTATATTTCTAGCACCTTCAGTATCTCCAGCATCTGTATCTCCAGTGTCTCCAGTATTATCTATGTCTCCGATATCTCCAAATACACCAGGCCCTTCGAAGGCGTACACAGACCAGATAGTACCAAACATAAAACAGCAACAATTTCAAAATCCTGAAGCACCAATGGAGGTAGAAGAAAATAATGACAAGCAATGTTGCAGTTCTGGTATGGATGTAGACTCTGGAATTGAAAACATGGAAGTAGAGGATAACGATAGAAAAGACCTAAAACCGAGATCACGCGTGAGTAAGATTTCATGAGATACGAACGTGTAGAAAGAATGGTCATTGTATTTGCTTCCCTTTTAGACTACGAGCTCCAGTACAGAGGTAACGACAGAACAAATCCACGCAGTTATCACGCGCGTACTACGCATATCATGGAAAGAACCTATGGAAGGTTGTATATTCTTACCACAAACATCGGCGTATGCATCGTCAACAAAACTCGTCGATTACACAGAGATTATTAATCAAGGATTGATGGAGGTTCTGTGTATGTTCATAAGAGACGAGGATCCTCTGAAAGATATCGTTATGGAAACGTCTTCGGATCGGGAAGACAGCCCTAATAGTCAGACGAGCTCGTTACAAAGTCCGTTCACGACGTTTTGTCGTTGCGATATGTGCTGTAAATCATCGCAGCCTAAGAGTCTCACTTATTTATTAGATTGCTATTCGAAAATCGCAACCGAAGAACGAAATCACCCGAAGGTATAGTTGATAACGTTTCCCGCTAATAATCAATATATGCGTGTATGTTATTTCGTCGTTCTTTTATTAAATAGAAGTCGAGTACACCACCATTGTCCGATGTGCTGACAGCTCTCCGGGCGCAGTGTGTTCAGTATTCCAGTCTTGTGCTACAAGGCCTAGTCGGCATTTCTCAATCTTGTACGACGTATCCATTCGCCATGACGCCTCTTCTATATCCTGTCCTCTCGCAGAGTTTACCACGGGGTTATCTACACGAGCTTGTGTCGAGAACGCACACGAATACGACGGTGTTCAATCAAATTTTCACGCCGCTTCTCCAAGGATTATATCTGTCGATGCATCAGAACAGCTTGATCCGAAACACGCATCGAAAGCCGATCGAGGCGTTAGAAGATTTAATAGAAATTCGTTGTGGGCCCAGCAGCAACATACGACCAGTGTGCCGTTTAATTGTTACTCAAGTACAATTTTTACCCGACATCATGACGACGGCCGCTGGCCGGGAAATTACGACGACCTCTCTTCTCGGACCTTTCCTCTCGGTTTCTGTGTTCGCCGAAGATCAGCTGAACGACAAGTTCTTCGTTGACCAGTCGGTGCATCTAACGTTGCAGCAAGAGCTGGAGGGCATCAGGACTTCGTTACACAAGATATTTCACGCGATACTCGCGAGTACTAATTGTCGTGAAGCTATGCTGACGTACTTGGCGACGTTGTTACGTTACAACGAGAAACGTGCTCAAATACAAACGGAAGAATTTTCCCTCGCTGGTGATGGATTCATGTTGAACTTGTTATCGGTGTTGCAAAAGCTTTCGGTGAAGATCAAATTGGACACGATCGATCCGTTGTATCCGTTTCATCCGGCGAGTTTCGTCGAGATTAAGAATGAGACAAGGCTAAAATTAAGTAGCCAAGAAGTTCAGGAATGGATGAAACATTTAGAGAGGACGCACAAGTGGGTCGAGCCAAAGTTTCCGACACAATGTTGGTTCCTTACTCTACATTGTCACCATATAGCGTTGTTACCGGCTTTACAGAAATACCAGAGAAAGCTGAGGACTATACGCGACGTGCAGAAAATGCTCGACGATCTACAAACGACTGAACCACAATGGAAAGACAGTCCTTTCGCTGGTCGTAACAAAGAATTGATCGAACGTTGCAAGGAGCAATTGAAACTGCTTGGCCAATCGAAATCCTGCGCCGACGCTGGATTGATCGATCCCGTTTTGTTTAGAAGGTGCTTGCACTTTTACATTTCCGTGGCAGAGATACTGCTTAGTTTATTGACACAAACTCCGCCAGGAAACCCAATTCCTGAACTGCCTTTGCCTCAAGAGGTACCACAAAAGTTCACAGCACTACCAGAGTGGTACGTCGAAGATATTGCTGAATTTGTATTATTTAGTCTTCAGTAAGTACCACTTTATACTGTTCGAAACTGATTAAACTAAGATGAACGCGTGTATATATTATTATTGGTTTATTCCTCGCAGATTCAGTCCTAGCGTGATAGTGAACAACATGGATAACTCCCTCATCACATGGTTGCTAGTTGTAGTTTGTACGCCGCATTGTATACGAAATCCATATTTAATTGCAAAAATTATCGAAGTACTTTTCGTAATAAATCCCAATGTTCAGGTAAATCATGCTAAATCTGAGATTTCAACAAAAATTTACAAATGTCATCATTTTCATCGAGGATCAATCTGTACTTTAGGGTCGGACCGAGTCACTCCACGACCAAGTGATGGCACATCCGATATCTAAAACGGTACTGGCATCGTATCTGATGAAGTTCTACACGGACGTTGAAACGACCGGATCTAGTTCAGAATTCTACGACAAATTCTCAATCCGTTATCACATTAGTTTAATATTGAAATCCATGTGGGACAGTCCGGTGCACCGGGAATCTATCATCAATGAAAGCAATAACGGGAAGCAATTCGTGAAATTCATTAACATGTTGATGAACGATACCACGTTTCTGCTCGACGAGAGCCTGGAGTCGTTGAAGCGCATACACGAGATCCAAGAGCTGATGTCCGACCTGAAATCGTGGTCGCAATTTTCCCGCGAACAACAACGTTCGCGGATGAAACAATTGGCCGCGGATGAGAGGCAGGCCAGATCGTACCTGACCTTAGCAAAGGAGACCGTTGCTATGTTCCATTATTTAACGGACGACATTACTGAGCCATTTTTACGGCCAGAATTAGTCGGGAGGTTGTGTGCCATGTTAAACTTTAATCTGCAACAACTATGCGGCCCTAAATGCAAGAACCTAAAAGTACGGATACCGCAGAAGTACGGATGGGAGCCGAGAGCTTTACTCAGTCAATTGGTCGATATATATTTGCATCTCGACTGTGAGATATTCGCTGCCGCTTTGGCCACTGACGAAGTAAGTTTCATTATTTCATCCATAGCTTTCAACAAGCTTGAATCCATGCGAAAACGTTTAATAATATTCTCTCGTCGCAGCGTTCGTTTTGTAAAGAATTATTCACCGACGCCGCACACAGGTTAGAGAGAGCGGTAATCAAGTCTACCATAGAAATCGAGAGATTCATAGCGCTCGCGGAGCGCGCTGCGGACATCGCCAGGGATAATCGTGCTCGTGACGAGGATTACGGCGATGCGCCCGAAGAATTCCGAGACCCGCTCATGGACACGCTTATGGACGAGCCAGTTAAACTTCCATCCGGTATTGTCATGGATAAAGCAGTTATAATTAGACATCTTCTCAATAGTTCTACAGATCCTTTCAGTCGACAACCGCTTAGCGAAGACATGCTTACACCAAGTGAGTAAATAAATATGTATATACGTTCGAACGAAAGAGATACGAAGAAGCATGTATTAATCGATCGTTTGATGATGGTTCTAGTGCCCGAATTGAAAGAGAGGATATCGATGTGGAAACAACAGAAGAAAAAACCGACGAATATATAAATTGTGATTCAGATGCAATAACCATTTCATGGAAACATCGCGGTATTGCGTAGCTCTGGTTGTCGTTACTACACGATACACAGTACCAGCCTATAGATGTATCATTACGTGTGGTAAATGAATAACAGTGCAATGATCTCGCTAATGTGCAAATAATTGCGCTCAATAAATTTACGGTTTTTATACATTAAAACGTGAAACAGACTGCAGCTAGGTAACTGCCTGCACATTACTCTTAAAGAAGACGAGAAAAAAAAATAGATACTTTTAATAAAATTTGTCACTAATCGCTGAGTGGCAAGATCGGTTAACCAGAGAGAAATTCTAATATTATTTACATATACTTGGCACTTGTTCCTTTGTACGTTCTACATAATACGAGAGACTGCGGATTAAGACATAAAACAAAGCCACGATCGATCGTTTTAAGAAGAAGTTTAATAAAAGCGTAAAAGTAAGTTTAACGACGTAGAACTGATGAAAGAACTCGTCCATTCGGTATTTGACAATTTGCGAATGGGAGGTGTGAACGAAAACCAAACATTATTTGATGCAAAATTTATGTAAAACTATTCGCAATGAAACAATCCGGACAATTGCTAATAAAGTCTCAATATAAATGTTAACATGTGCCGTGTTTGTATGGAAGAAACTGGATCATTTACAGCGATCGATTCTTTTCGAAGATGTACATGTTAAATGTAACGCATATTCGTTCAATAAATTTCATGAGCAAATCAGCTGTATCTAATGTATATAATAGGGTTACTCTTGTAACGATTCCATCTAACGAAGTACATATTTTTCGTTTTCGCCAGTAGTAGAGTAACTCGTTTCAATAATTAATTACAATGCTTTTCATTTTAAATTCGATGTTTCTACTTTCGTTTGAAACTTTTCTCTGAAGATGGTGTGTTCACTAAACGACTGAACGTTCGTAACATTCCAAAGAAATTTAAGCAAATATCGTATTGGACTTTCAAACGCATTTAACAAATTTTCTTTTCGATCAGTTTTCACATTCAATTACATAAATTTGTCATTAAATAATGTTAAAAATCATTTCAAACAGCAGAACTTATTGTAAATGTAAATAATGAAAAAAATACATTTTGCATTGTGGTACCATGTTAAGGAACTAAAATTCACATAAATTAGTGTAACTCTCACTGTTATCAATGGTCAGGAAATATATGTTATTTGTTATGTATTCTTATTTTATACATTATAATCATAAAACGTTTGATAATCATCATATTGTAGCAATTATTAATGTCGCGTTACAAAGAAACGAAATGAAGCATTTAAGGATGTTATGGATTGCCAACAATCATCCAAGTCGCATCGTTTCACAAATAATCTGTATTCTAATTTACTTATACATATATACGACTCATGTTTCACTTGAAATTTATTTGTTTTTAAAGAAAATTTATTTTCTGTAAAAACCTTCACATCATATTTGTAAATATTTCAAGTATTGTAACTAAAGTAAAAAAGGTTCACGAAATTAAACAAAAGTTAGATAAGTAAATGTAAGTGACAACCTACATATTGTACATTACATAGTAAAATATAATATTTAAATAATACTGAGTCCCTGTCTTTTAATCCTCCTTATCCTTTGTCGTTGCTGTCATCATGCTTCTGTACATCTGTTGTCGTTATTCTTCCAAAAAAAAGATACATACATCTTAATTTACAGTTTACAGTAATTTTTCATTAATGCTGTTACAATTTAGTAAGTTACCATCTATCAGTGATTTTCCTCTACCGAATCCAAATCTTTTCGACATTTTGTAGTTTTGTAACAGTGTTCCTCTGCCAATACCCATAGAACTAATTATGGATTGATTATCTTCAATAACAGAACCCTCAGGTTCTTCTATCAATGCAGCTTCAGGATAGCCCCGGGGATATCTCAGAGGTTTACAATCATCAGTTGTTTCTTCTAATCCCAATTCAGAAGCATGCCTCATCGATCAAAAGAATTTTTATAAATATATATATATATATATTAATATGTAGATTAGACAACAAAGTATACGACAAACAAAAATTACTTTTGTAAATACACTGCTTCATCATTTGTTTCTGCAGTTTTTACGCTCGAAACAGGACATTTATCATGATCCCAACATTCATCATTACCATCAACCATGCTTGAACAGTCTGTGTATAAATCGAAATTCAGAGAGCCATGGTCTCCCGTCGCTATGAAACAATATTATCGTTAGTCGTGGTTTCATTCGAAGATCGAAAGACGAATGTAAAAATAACGAAAACCTGAACAAAAACTTTCGGGCCAAAGAGCACCGCGCGATAAGCATGTGAGGACATGCTCCTTTAGCTCGTGCTCAAAAATGCGATGAGTAGCATCATACGGGCACATGACTTTATAATTTGTTGGAAATCTCTGTCGCAAAGATTCAATATATTTTAATAACAATATAATGAATTTTTCATTAAAAAAAATCTGAATCAAATGAGTTTGTGCTTTTGAATGAAATCACTTTACTTACTTTTTCACATTTGACAAGGTGCTTTTGAATACGAGATCTTGAAATTAAATGATTATCGTACGGACACTTTACGACATGATCGTTTAACTTTTGGCTATTAGAGAACATTTTTTATATGCGATTATTAACAGCTTTCCCGGTTTCTTCCTAATAACTTTGGAATGTGTACCGTGTACCTCGTGTATCGTTTGCGTATATAAACAATGACAAAAATTGATCGCGCGAACGGACAGTTGTCCTATCGGTTCGTACTTGAACTAATCTTTTAAATTTCAAACACGTGTTCGAGACTGTATTGCCAGGTATTACTTATTCGTATTTGTTCTGTTAAAAGTTATGTAATCTTTTCACGAATAAAAGAACAATACGTTAAATTCGTTAATTGACTTACAACTAGAAAATAAAAGTAAAAAAGGTTGATTAATAAAAAATGATTTATTGGATTATTGCCACAAAAATCAGATTTGCTTCCTCTTATCGTATTTCTTTCATTTTCATTAGGTCGCGTTCGCTAATCAAGTGATTGGAACGAATGTGTAAACTACATTAGTACGATAGCAACATTTGCATTCTCTCGTGTTTAGAAGTACAGTGTATCATTTGTTGCTTGATCGAAAACGGGGATTTAAATTAATTTAATTTTACCGTTCTACATGTATATTTAAATAGAATTGTCTGTACTTTTAAATAATATATAATACAATAATCATAGACAAATAAAGCTATGCCGAAACTATAAGTGTTTTATAATTACAGATCTTTGTAACGATGACAGTAAACGACGAAACAATAACAACATTCTAGTTTATTATTAGTAATACACCGTACAGAATTTATTGTCTTGACTTGTAAATTTATCAATTTATAAAATGTGAAAACTTGAATCGAGATTTGTGTTTTTGAGATTACAAAACCATTATTACATGTATGTACACATTACGATATGCATACAGCTCTTTCTTTGTTTCTTAATAAATGATGCCATGTGGACTTTTAATTCGTTGAGATAAACTAATTACAAACGTATTTAAATAATTATATATTAAAAATTCACGTTAGTTCATTTCCACCTACTTTAGGTGTGAAAATATTATGCTTGTTACATATGTCGGAAAAATTACAGGTAGAAATTCAGATTCTGAACGATATATAATTGCTTTGTACATGCCAAAGATCATCACATTGTTGGATTACCTCCAAATGTTTATCGTATTACAAATATTGGTAATATAACGTGTCGAGTATGAATCAAGTTTTATAAATGTACATGATGATGCTTGCACGAAGGAAGAAATTAGATTTTATGATGAGAATCAATCGATCATATGTACCAGTCCAAATATTATGAAAATAATAAATGAATATTAAATAGATCAACAGTTGCCCACATAATCATCGGATTCTCTTCTGAACAATGATGCATGGCGCATGGATGTTACAGATATGGAAGAGGATCCACGAGTAAACAAGCAACAACGTACAAAATGCCTAGAAACATGTTTAATTTGGCTGTCTGTTTGGGCACGCTCTGAATCGTATGCGGAGTTCTGAATTGTTTTTCTATCTTGAAAGCAGTCGGCAAAGTAATCACCGGTAATAAGAACCAAACGGAATACCTCAATGCAAGCACTACCAATGTTACATACGGTGTAAACAGTAAAAAAGCGTATAAAACATGAGATACGGTATGACCTATTAAAATAGCTAGCGTTACGATTCCAGCTTTCTTATCGCTCTCCAAATCCCGCGTATTATTACTGTGTAGGATAGCCTCTGTATTCAGCGCAAGAGGTATAGCGTAGTATATCGTACCTAATTCAATGTAACCGGTCTGAACCATGAACGCGAACAAGACTGAGATGGGGCCGAATATAACTAAAATGAGGACATCGCCTAACGCGATGTATTTCAATCCTATTCCTCCCGTGTAAAGAAACGACGAGGACAAACCTCCGAAGTACAAAAGTGCGAGATGCTCCATTCTCGCTGGAGATATGGTAGTTAATAGTACAAAACCCAAACATCCTGCGGTATACAACAGTGCACCTAACGAAACTAATTCATCCTTTGATAAAAGTTGATCTACCAATATCCTATCATCGCTCTTCCGACTGTCCACCCCTTTTATGTAATCAAAATAGGTGTTGACTACGTTACCAGCTCCATGTACACAAAAGACGGTGTATACCGTGAAAATCAAAGATATCCAGCTAAAATTTGTTAAGCCTGTTAACCGATATGCCAGAGCTGATCCAAGGAGCGTTGGCATTAACGAAGCACTCAACGACCATGGTCGTACAGCCAAGAAATATGAAGACAACTTCATTAATGGAGATCTTAATGTTGAGGACATTACAGGCAAACAATTTGCGTTGTTTGACATGTGTTTTCCTCCAATTTCCTTGGCAGAGAGCCTAATACCATTGGACATTATACTTGAAATATTCTAAAAAAAGAGACAACATTCAAATAAATTTTAAACTTTAAATTTATATCACTTTATAACATTGTTAATATCTTTTTGATAACGTTCTATGAAAACTGATGCAGATCTTTTCGAAAACTCGTAATTAACATGGACTATAATCTATTCAAAAGCTTTATAATACAGAAATTGTAGAAAACAACTTTTCTTCTGACGAAAGATAGTATCGTGTTACTGGTAAGATTAGTTGCACAGCTTTGTGTAAAAAGATGAACCTCTTCAAGGTAAATATCCAACAACCCTGATAAACTTACCTACCTACTGTTCTTCAGAAAGAGGGAAAGCTGGGTTAGAACAATCTCCATAATTTGTTGACAACAGTTGCATTCTTCAAATACACTTGGATCATGACGAAAGATTGTTTGATGGCCCGAGTTGAATAATTTTCACATCGTCAACATTTAATCTTTGCGTTCGAAGAAGAATTCTGTTCCCCTTTTCGTAAAATATAACGGTGACGTGTTTTCATTAATTTGCACGTGGCGCTCCCTGAAATTGTTTCTTTTTTCACTGTACAGGAATCCATTTACATCCTTGAGAGTCGGGCCAATGGACTATACGTTTTTTTATGCTTTGTATTACGATATTTACACAAAACGGTACATTCGTACTTTAAATTTATACCTAGACTTTCCGCTATTGTTTTATTTATAGCAGCAATAGATAAAAGTTATTTGAAACACATGTATAACACTGGATGTATCGATACATCAATCGGTTCAAGGATAACAATCTTTCAGGCAAACAACAAATTAAAAGTTTATCTGAAATCGATTTAAAAATAAGAAATGTGTATTCAATGTGGGAAGGCCCTTTAGTTCTTTGGTTGAAAAATGAGATTCGTGCAAATGAGCCTGAATATGAACGTACACATAGATATACGTGGCTGTATTGGGATTTGTAGTTAAAGTTCGTATCCTAGCTGTATACACTATACAAGTATATAATATCCTACGCTGCAGTGTTAGGTTTGCAGCGTTCGCGTCAGACGGTGGTCAAGGACCGTTTCACTTCTCCGTGTTTCCAGAAATCTCGACAGGTCTGTCGTCTTGGCAAACATTGTACGACAATTCGCCTTGTCCCATCTGGCTCAAGTGGTCGTGCTGCGTTATACATTATCGATCGTGATAGGTTTTATATTTTCAACAAACAGTATACAACTGAGAGCTCTCCAAAATGTCCTTGATCAGATCACTGATGGCCGATGATCACGAAGATGATCCTATTTTCGGGTGAGCGAAAATAACTTTAAAAATCTCGCCTATCCGTCTACTATACGGAAAACGAGAATTCAATGAGTAATAAAATCATTCACATCTTGTTTATTAAATTTGTTTGTATCATTATGACTATAGTAGAAATTTTCGTCACATAAACTAAGCAATCAATTGAGGTTTCCGTGTCACCGTAAAACTATAGAATATCAAGTTAGTCAAGTTGATTTTTAAACACATTTAGTTGGGAAAAACTAAAATATTTTCCTCAAACCTGTGGAAATACGATCGATCAACCGTGTTAGACGGAAATTTCGTTTCCATAACGACTTCCTTTTATTTAACTTTGTTTAACGTATTTCATATATTTCGCATATTACGTAACCGTTCATTTTGTTCCACCGACAGTATGATTTATTAAATAATTGATTTACGCCGACGTACATTCATACGGCAAATTTACACATATATATGGAGAGGAAATGGAGGTACTCTCATTGACAAACAAACTTGTATTCAAGTCCTGATTGCTCTTTTTTCTTGTAGGTCTTACATGCAGTCTATGAGGCACATGAATGATATGATGAATTCCATGTTCAGCGATCCGTTTAGCATGCTGGGTTATCCCAGTCATAATGCCATCACTGATGGTAGTCATAGAACTGGAGTTCGTCATCCAAATAATCACCAGTTAATGCCATTTGGGTTCCCTCCAATGCCAATGTTTAACATGGGCAACGTACTTGCCGACTTCGTATGTAGAATTTTGTAAATAGTAATTTTCTTTCCTGTTCACAGAGAGATTACACGAATCTGTGTTTCAGGATCAAATGGCAGCCGGCGGCAACTGTCAGACATTTACATCTAAATCTGTAATGACCAGAGGTCCTGATGGTCGTCCGCAAGTATATCAAGAAACCATGTCAACGACCAGTGCTCCTGGAGGTGTGAAGGAGACTAAGAAAACTGTTTGCGATTCTCGTACCGGACTGAAGAAAATGGCTATTGGACATCATATCGGAGAGAGGGCACATATTTTAGAAAGAGAACATAATCTTCGTAACGGTGCCCAAGAAGAACATCAGGAATTTATCAATCTTGAAGAAGGTAAATACTTCTTACATCTTTTTACGTATTTACATATTTTACGTAATTACGAATTACAAATGTGTAAATTGTTTGTTTCATAGATGAAGCTGAAAGTTTCAATAACGAATGGGAAACGCTCACTCGCCACGGTCATGGTACAAGTCATCGAACTCGGCCTGCTCATAGGCAGCTGGCTCTACCGGATGCATCGGCAAGGTTAGTTCATTAAATTTATCAAGGCATACATGATACATTTTACCCAGGAAGAGAATTATACATTATTTATTTAGTTTCTTATATTTAAACGAATCATCAGTTTGTGCATTGTAAATGGTAGGACACACGTAGCATGAGATTATGTATGCATGTATGCAAGTACAAATATAGCCCTCTTAATAACAAGCTCGAAATTCGTACAGCGCATATAAGAAATCCAGAAGACGAACCAGTAAAAAAAAGTAAACGGAGAAACGGGATCCCATCGTATCACTTTTGCCTTACTTTCTGCATTCCTCGACTAAATTTTGTATCAAGCGTTTGAATAAAAACACGGAGGCTTTAGTTTCCATCACTTGCGTTAATTTCACTATTGAATAGACTGCTGTTTATATTGTACTGCATTTTTCTTTTGGGAGAAGAGGGGACTGTGTGGACAATCTTCAGCTTCTCATATTACTGCCACAAATTATTATTCTATAGACGTGTGATTAATAGTTAACGATATATTTACTAATTTTGAATCTCCTTAAAATTATTTCAATTCCAATGTAAAATCGTTGAAGCTAATAAAAAATAATTTATTAAACAAGTACATGGTGTTTTTGTACTTGATCTTTTCAACATCTGACAAAATAAATTGACATTTCATCTCGTCAGTTTCTTTCACTTTTTCTTCAGTATATTATTTTTATTATATTTATTATATGCTTTCATAGTCGATACTCTAGTTCCTCGAGGTGGACACCTTCTCCTAGACGTAGTTTAAAATTGCCACCTACTTCCAAGACATACACCCCGAGTCACAGTCCAAGGTGAGTTTAAATGATTTTGAGTGCTTTGCCGCAGTAAGGTATTTAGTATTTCCAATCATTATCTTGAAAAATGTCCATGTGTTTGTGAAATAAAATGTGGAATCTTGTAATTGTGTAGGAATATTGTAGTAGCATACGACAATTAGAATCTTTGGTGTAAGGATACGTATGCTTTCAATTGGTTGCATGTTTGGTACATAGAGGAGAGATTGCTAAAAAATGGTAGCCTTATGGGATTTGTAATCGCACAAAAACTCTTTAGTAGTGTAGCTCGTAGGTCTTTTCAATTCTCGTTTCATTTCAATGTAGCTGAAAGATACTGAACATTTTGTCTATCTTGTAGTAATTAATTCTCATCTGTAATACACCAAAAAACATTGGTATGGGATGTACCATATATTTTGTGTATTGCAGGTACAGTCGCAAATATTAATAAAGTAAAAGCATAGTCCACAGTGGTGACACTTGGCAACGTAAGTACGTTGCGTTTCATTTCACGATTACAACTATTAATACTTGAGTTGTTTTTTCAATTTGCTTTTACTACTAAACTGTTGGTAAAATAAAATTCATTATTTTTTCATCAACCTTCTTTTTTCACATGGACTATCAAAGTGTATTTTCAAATTTGCCGTTCAGCTTCAACACAGAAGCGAGGGAGCGAAATTATACAATACAACGCTTTTGTGTTTTACAGTTCAAACTCATCCGGTCGTAATCAATCTACCAAGTCTCCACCAGCAACAGCAGCAGCAGCAGCTGTAATAGGGAACCGGAAACGTAAACATGTACCGGACGATAAAGATTCGAAAAAGTGTCACGTCGTATCAGATAGTAATGTTTAGATATATTCTACTCGACTATTTAATCATGTTCCAACGACGCTGCAGAACTTGAGCAAAAACTTTTGCCTCATCCGATTCGAGATTCGAAGAGAGAAGTTTTTTTACAAATAATTTAATTTCTTATACATGGCGTTTCAATGTATGTACATTCAAATGAATTGTAGTACGCCAGTTATCGTACCGTAAGTAGCTGCTTCTTCTATCTGAAAGGATTCCTTTTTAGATCGTAGGCACTTTACCGAAGTTACGCTACAATTACTTGACATTTTATATACATACAAACACACACTTGGAGTCTGTGAAAGGATAAAATATATGTGTAGGAGCTCTACGAATTGTACACTCTATATTCAATCATGTATAAAAAGTAAGAGAGTAAAAATGTCAAAACACAGACTTTTAAATGTTTCTCTATTACTTAATTATTATTATTATTAACGTACAAGTATAGATTTGTAGTCTATAAAAGGATAAAATATATGTGTAGGAGCTCTACGACTTGTACACCCTATATTCACCATGTATAAAAAGTACAAGAGTAAAAATGTCAAAACACAAACTTTTAAATGTTTCTCTATTACTTGATTATTAACAACAAAGAGTAGAAAGTTTTGTTTGTGGTCAAAGTTCAAATTAATAAGTTCGCCACCCTCTGTGGTCAAGTATTTTATTCAAAGAGACTGTGTTTAACGAGACTTTAACTGTAATTTTCAATGTTGAAAAGGCTGAAAAGGCACTCGGTTTTTAACACATGTTCAAAATTATAGTTTTGTTGACGAACGAGATGAAACGTATTTTGGGCTAATGTGTTTATCAATAAATGTACAATTAATGTAATCATTTTCATCACTGTTTATTGAAATAAAAATTATAGATTCAGTATAATGTAATCCCACCTTTTACACCAAGAACAAATAAGATTGAATAATAAATCATACCTAGTACCCTTTTTTTACGCTGTTTTCTCAAATACAAGCAAGAAGAAACTAACATTATTTAGCATTGTGTCAATAAAATTGTCATTAAATTTTCTAAAATTCGGAAACCGGCCATGACTAAATGTTTATACAGGTAGCAATAAAGTGAAAAGCATGCTATTACTGAATTCTAAGAACACAAATACCCCAAAAGAATAATTAATACATCGCATTAGGATTCTCATGGAATTGTCATTAACGTAAATACGTAGTCTTTTTAAAAAAATATTACACTCTATCCCGTAACAAGAATAAAATTAATGTTTGCAGCACGTAGTAAAGCATTAACATGATGGTTAAGAAAACGAAAAAAAAGTAGGAGGAAAGCCAGCAAAAGAAATGATGCATTATATCCGGTCTGCACCATGTGGGGCAGATTGACTTCTGTTAAATATTCTTCGCTAAGGTGCTGATCCTCGAATTAATTGCCAGGAGTTGGGCCACGAACGCCGAATCGCTCATAACCGTAGCAAGAGCAGATAGCAGATCTTCCAAGGTATCTTGCAAGAGACCTAATTGTCGAGCGCATTCGCCAAGAATTTCTTTTTCTTCATCGTCAGGATTTATCTTTGGCGAACTGCAGAATTTATCGAACGTCATTTTCACTCTCTTTTTGCCATTGTTGGTTTGGTAGAAAATTGTAAAAGTCTGCGAATTGTTCATGTCCAGCACAATAGGGAAATATAAACCAGCTGTAACGTGTCCCTTGGTATCTCTCGCGAGAAGACTCCTAAAGTTATAAACTAGATTTCTGCGTTCGGTAACGTCAATGGCAGTCAGGTAAGGCCTTGCCACGTATATAAGAGCGATCTGCGTCCTTGCCAAGGCGCCGGACCTAGTTTTCCTCTCATGCCATTCAATGTAATCGGGATCGTTAGCGCACAAAAAGTAATTGTACTCCATTTTACAATCTGGTTCGTCTGATTGAACGAACCAACCCGTGTGTGGATACATCTTGTCCTCCATTACAGTGATCACCCGAGCTACGTGATATCCAGGGTCGAGGAGCATAACTCCGTATCTCTCGTTTATTTCGATTTTTAGGCACACAAGTACGTGTTCCTTCTCCCTACTATCTGCCGCTGGTGGTCCACCAACGTAATTAGCAACATTGTCAATCGTCTATGAGAATGAAACAAATAATTATCTAAAACAATCGCGTATCGTTTAAATCGTTCGCATTGTAAGAAGAGTCTTTACGAGACATACCTCTTCACAGGATACCAAATAGAGGCCACTTGCTATGCCAGGAAATCGCTTGTTTAAACCCCTCAAACGGTGTAGCAATTCAAATCCCAAACCCACGCACGTGTGATGTTCCCGTGTGATGAGCGGTTGATATTTATTGTAGAATCTCTCCAGTACACTTTCACCACTTGCGGTATAATCCTTGTAGAATCTGCATCGAGCAAAATGAAAATTGGAACATTGGCTTGCATATCGATGTCAACGAAATGTGGAGAACTTACTTGAGAAAGTTACCGATGGTGTCATAGCGATGCTCACGCAGTAGGTGTTGCGTTTCTAGTTCAACGCTGCCTGCCAGTTCCTCATACTGTTCGACCGTGGATACAGTCAGGGCTGGTGCCTCGTAATGGGCCCATACCGGCAGGGGTAGCGGCACACCCCTGATCCAGGGCCCGCGTGCCTGCCCCTGTGGCTGGCACCATGTTTCTGCCGTCTCGAGTCAACTCGGCCATTCGCTGCCCCAGCGGCCCACTGTTGGCACGAAGCCATGCTCATCCCTGCAGCTGCTTATTGGCTCCACAGGGCTCTCTCCGTGTTTTATGCTCTTCTCTCGCTCTGTAAACAAAGTTTCACAAAATGTTTATAAGAACGTTCGCAAGGAAATGTAAGATAGAATCGAAGAAAGGGCGAGAGAGCAGAGGAGTTACTGGCAATCCGCCGAAACGTTAAACTTGTTCGAAATAATTAGGAATTTTATCGATGAGCATAGTTACCATATGTCCATTGCTATTTAAGCACACGAATCAGTACAATTCCGTATGACAAGATTTGCGAAATGAATGCAGAAATGCGGATCGCATTTATCGGTGGCTTGGTGTCCAACATGGCGACGGGTATATACGCATGGCAAATCAATATACGAACAAATAGATGTGTATGTAAGCCTGCCACGTGTCTACTATATGATTTCACCGTTTGCGCAAATACATTATTCTTTATAGATATTTGAACGAAATTTTTATAGCATATTCAGAAGCTTATAATCTGCCACGTTTCGGACTGATAACAGATGGATTCTCTATCACTTGATATCTTTCAAGATAATCAAAGATGGATTGATAAGCGCATTGAAAATAATTACGTAAGACCAAAAAAATATATATTTGCCTATTGTTACGTTCGTGTCATTCTAACGAACAAGTACGAGTTCTTAACCGAGTAATATGTAATAATGCTGTACGTGAAATTGTAATGACGCGCAAAACATTCATGTTTACATTCGATCTACGCATCTGATATCCTCATTTAAGCGATTCATTTGACACGTATCAATGTAAAATGGTACGGTGGCGACCAATTGCGTCATTAAACGCAGTGAGTCAAGCCGCAAATATGCCAAGCTGGAAGTGAAGGGCATTTCCCTCGTGAACTAGGGCATACAAGATGTTTGGACGCGTATGCTGTCACGAATTGTTTAGATATCAGTCGACACGAGTCATTTCAGCGAATGAGCAACATCGTGTTTCGTTTCGAGCGGAAACGAGGAAGTAGGCGATAAAGAAAATTATATATAAATCTGTGGACCTTACCCATACAATGAGCGCACCAAACAAACAAAAACTTTCCCTCCTCGGAAGCTTGGTACAATTTACACGTCCGAAGCCCAAGCAGAACTGGGTGGTGGAATGTGTGTGGAACATTATATACCTTCAAGCCTACAGACTCCCCACCGCATATCAAACCTTTGTTAGTTCAACACGTGACCGCCACCCTCATATATGCAAAGTTTAGAACCCGTAATTATGTCCTCTTTCTTTTTTTACAAAACAATTGAAAAACTGACTTTTTTATATATCGTCTGCTGGCTCATTTTTCTGCAACATCCGGTAGCATGCTCTCAATCTATATACAAACCATAAGATATCGAGTCATTGAAATTTCTTTCTAAATTTCAGATTCGTTTGAACACGTAAGACGATTTGTAGGGATTGAAGAATGTGAAAAAAGAATTATAGGGATTCGTCACGGGGAAATTCACCTTTAACACGATTGATTCATACATATATCGGGCCTTTGGACATTATACTATTTGTCCAGCTGTTCAGGTGTTGAAACCTTACGTCAGCATAGTCTGGCTCGGACGTCATAATAGATATCGAGTATATTCCTTGGAACGCCAATATAATCAACAGGACTTTCAAGGAAAAAAGCTGAACGCACGCAATGTTAAGGATCGTTCCCGTTTCACCTTTACCGCGTTCATCTTCATGCATTTTCCCTTGGTACACGGGCGCGCTATTTTAAACGACCTTGAACGGGAATTTACATTTCCTAGTATAACTCTTTACCGAAAATTCTTATCGAGCGACGCCTTAACGCCTCTTTTTAATCTGTGAATCAGCTGACGTCAAGAGTACAGTTCGATAAAAGAACACGCACACGTGTTTGCAAAATCTATATGCGTGTATACACGCGCGAGCCGATATACGGTCACGTTTGAACACACTGTCCATCGGCCACGTGATAATAATGTGACTCGATATGTGCTTCGATGGAGCGAAATTTACTACGCAGTTACATTATTTATTCAAGAAAATTGGAAGTAAACCAACCGTTATTGGCACAATTTATTGAACATTCTTAGATACGATATCTGAATCTTATTGTTCTCGTTACTCTTATTGCCAGGCAATTGCAAAATCAGCTCTTGTGTAATTTTAATATCCGCAATTCAGTAATCTATATTCTCCTTTCTACACGAACTTGCTCAGAAAATGTTTCCCGACATCAATGAATTTATGTACTTTCGCGAATTACTGCGACCAATTATAGAACGTCGATTGCGAGGTGAACCCCTTTAATGCATAAGAAATGAACATTTCTTGGCAAGATTAAATACAAATTAGATTTCTGTTACCATCTTCCGATAATATTCAGTTTACGAGTAGATTGAACTAAACATACGGATCTTTTCATGGTAAACATTTTATAATTGCGCAATATAATATAAGAATGCATGAGTCACGAAGGCCAGTCATGTAAAGATACTGTACGCATGTAGTACATATATGCACATACACATACATACCTATTTTACTGAAATGCCTTAAGCAAGCAAGTTCAACGCACAGACATGAATAGTAAATTAAAAAATTCATTTGATTATAGAAAAAATATCTGCCTATGTGCTCTCGTGGTTGTTTTATTCCTTTCTATAGTCTAATTGTAAGATCAACAAAGAGTACTCTGTACTTCATCGTAATATATCGTGCGTTTTACGTAAGTTCAAAGTCTCGATCATAATATTCCAACGAGTCAACATTATCTATCAATAATAATCTTGCAGTAATCCAATAATCTTACGTAATATTATCGGCGTTCTTTAATCGGCTAGACAGAAAAATATTTGATGTAAAACCTGGTAAAACCGATACAAGGATATATATACAGCTGTTTGTTGAAACTGTGCTTATATGTTTTGCGATTTAATAGAAGAATCGCTTAATGTATAATATAGATATCAATTAATGTGTACGAAAGAAGAAATATGAGTAATGTTCTTCACTGACCATGCGTAATCATTCGATTCACTGATTTCTTTGCGTAAAATGTGCGTATTGATAAACTGCTGAATTCCAAATATTGGTGCCTGAAGTTGGTCTGCTAAACCTTACACATATTCGAATCTGCCTCTTGCACCTTTTTCATAATACAAGTTATCGCCTGCATACAATTTCTCACTCTGTTTTGTCATCGTGATTCATCAGCGCAATTCCGCGAAAGGTGGATGTAGACGTCGCTTCAAGCAAACCAAAGTCCTGTAAATGTGATTGTATGCAACCTTATGTTTTTTATGTTACATTAATAAACATCTTGATTGCATTTTGCTAATTATGATTGACTTGTACTTTCTCTTTTTCGCACTACCTCCTTTCCTTCCAAATAATCATAATTCTCCTTCGAACACGGGGGCCCGAAACCGGCTTGATCCATCTCTGAGTCTGGTGCTCGTGACTGTTTATCTGAACGTATTTGCATAATATATTTACTGCATCGAGTAGCATTGACACTTTACACGATACTTACCCGCAAAGAGATTTGCTATCATTTCTTGTACGTACGTATTCCCTTTCATCGGTAACATGACAGGACGTATCTGATGTGTTACATGTTCAGGAACATATGGGATATCATTCGTTGAAAAAAGGAACGTTTAAATTTGTTTATTGCAGATTGTAAAGAAGATTGTATAAAGTGGAGAAAGATGAATTTGACATGGATTTAATCTCGTGCATCGTTCGATGTATTCGTCCTCTTTGGGGCAATGTTATTTTAGCCAGATGACAATATTCATATTAGGAACAACTGTATTGCTAGAAAGTAATTTTTTTAACTACTCCTTTTCGTATCCCGAGTGTATGTGCATTTACATTAATTTGTATAACATTATCTTTGTAGGAATTTAAACGACTCTATTAATCATGTCTCTTTTGGAAGGAACGCAGATATCATCAATGCAGACTGAACCGATTGATAACTTGTATCTTGCATTGATACAATGCTTTGCTATTATATTATGCGGGTATGTATTCTTATAATTGTTATCAGAAACATTTAAAATTAAATTTGTTTGCTTTTTCAGATATATCGCAGGCAGATTCGATGTAATTAGTAAATCAGAAGCAAACGGTCTGAATACTTTTGTAGGGACGTTTGCCCTGCCTTCTTTAATCTTCATGTCACTGGCAAAGCTTGATTTTAGTTTAGTAAATTGGAAGTTTCTCCTCGCCGTGTTGATAGCTAAAAGTTGTGTATTTTTCATCGTTCTTGGCGTGTCTCTAGTCATTAAAAGACGAACGAATCCAGGCTGTGCTGCGCTCTTTGCAATATTTACCACCCAAAGCAATGATTTTGCTATCGGATATCCTATGAGTAAGTAAACAATCAATATCTCTCTACACTTTGCGTAATGCTTTATATAATTAAAATTGATTACGTTCATAGTCGATGCTCTGTATGGAGTTACGCATCCCGAATATGCTGCTTATTTGTATCTGATGGCACCTATATCGTTGGCTATTTTAAATCCAATTGGATTTGTATTACTAGAAATTGGCAAACGTTATGAAGAAGATAACAGAAGTTATATGAACATGATTTATTCTATCGTAAAGGGAATCGTATTAAATCCTATACTTCTTATGACAGTTTTCGGTATCTTGGGAAACTTGACATTCAGCCATGTTGTACCAAGCGTAATCTCAACTGTGCTAGATGTGTTTGGTAACGCGTTTTCGGCTACAGCTCTTTTCCTCCTGGGATTAATGATGGTTGGAAAAGTGCACAAATTGAAGGGCACGGCTCTGGTTATACCGGGCATACTGATATCGGTCAAACTGCTGGTTCTCCCGTTGGTCATAAGAGAATCCATTATTTTGATAAACGCTGGAATTAACTCTACGGATACTCAGAATTTGAGTACATACGGATTTCTATACGGTACAATACCGACGGCTCCGGCTTTATTCATATTCACTCTTCGTTACAATATCGAGATTGATTTGATCGCTTCGTCGATGGTCGCTTGTACATTTTTATCTGCTCCGCTGATGTTCGTATCTGCGAAATTAATCGATGCCGTATCCTCTGGAATGACACCGAAAAACTATACGCATCAGTTGAACGTATTTTCCTTCGACGTGAGCATCGCTTCGGCGATTGTCTGTATATGGTTGATAATTTGTTTCGTAGGATTCGGGCGACAAAAATACAAGTGCGTTACTCACAAGTGTACGCTTTTCATTGTAATTGCACAGGTTTGTATATTATTAAATTTTGTACCAATTGTTAAAGTTTTCACCTGAAAATTGCATTGTGCTTCCAGTTAGCTACAGCTGTAGGTGTTATAATATGGACCAAACTCGAATCACACAATAGCGGTTCAGTTTTGTGGTAATTACCTTCAGTGATTTCTCAATCCCTCCATTTCTATAATTATTGACATAATTTATTCCAGGTATATCCAATTCACTTTAATCACTGTGGGAGTGTATGCTAGTCGTGTATGGACGATGGGGATAGCAGCTACTCTGTTGTACTTGAGTTCTCGATCCTTGGAATTTGTTAAAAATGTCCAGAAATGGTTTTTTCCTATTGGATGGGGGTACGACAATATATTTTAATTATTGGGACGATGCAAAGAATAATGAAGTCATTTTTAGGATTCCGCTTGTGATAGTAATTATAATGTGTTGCGTGATATCTCCAAAGGAACCTGACCCCGCATTCATAAACCCAAATTTTCAACTTGGCAGAACTCAAGCTGCGATCTCTATGGTCATACTGATATTCTGTTTCATTGGTAAGTTCATGATGTACGATCTTACGAAAACAGATGAATGAATCTTCATTTGTATTGCGTATCCTTTCTTTACAGTGACAATGGGCTGTTTGGTTTTACAGCAGATGTACCAGCGTCGACAGGCCTCGACGTCTTACTCTAGTTTAGCAAATAATATTGAGGCTTCTAATGATGATAGTGTTGAAAGGCGTGTAGTAGATGTTGAAGATCTTGCCTCAGATTCTCGTACTCCGATGTGAGTGAATTCATAAAACAAATATCGTGTATTTCATTTAACAATCAATGCTCTGTTCTGTGCAGAATCGGTTGTGAGTTCGCGAACGGCTGTCCCAACGGAGTGTGCAGAGGCAATAGTAATGACATTGATGATTGCGATTTACTGGTTGACCTTGAGAATGAAAGAAACGATCTTCAATCTCTCCGACACCTTGTTTTCGTAATTCTCTTGCTATGTTCCATGTTCATTGTAAGTACAATAAGTAAAAATCAATGAAAATAGTAAAAAAGTATAAGGCCAACAAGATTTATCATAAGCATTATACTATTTCAGGGCATAACGATATCGATTGGAACACTCATAATGGAGAAATTGACAGGAGTTTATGCGGAGCTAACATTTCTGGATGTCGCTTTAAACTTTGGCCAGTCGTTGATCGCGTTCGCCATTTTCGGATTAGACGCTGGCCTCGGGAAGCTTGGATGTTGGCTACGAAGAATGTGTCGCAAATGGCGCGCAGGTATTATTCTTACTTGTTACCGCAGAAATTCTACACAAAACGAAATCCTATACGCCGCGTAATTTGATATTTATAGGAAAAGAATTGCAGCTTCCCGCGGAAGACGCGTTGAGCCCTGAAGTGAAGGCTATTAGGGATCAATTTAATCGTTGCCACTTGGACGAATGCCGTACTCGTATAGCCATGTGTCGTAGGCGTATGCTGAAATTGTACAAAAACGTCTTCACTGGGACTGAATTGGTTAATTGGTTACTGAACGCCGGTGTTGCAGAAACCAGAGAAGAGGCTGTTCATTACGGCCGGAGCTTATTAGAAAGTAGAGTATTGCAACATGTTGACGGTATTGAGCATTTTAGCGATCAAAATATACTTTACACTTTCAATGCCTAACTGTATCATTCTTATTCAGAGAATTATAGTCTTTTTATTTATTATTTATTATTGTACATTTATATTTGTTGTCTCAAATCTCGGAGTAGGTTCCTAGCAACGTTTTCTAATTCTGTATACTGTATTATTGTGTAAAATATCACGTTTTTCATACTCCTTTGTGATTTATTTAAATTATATCAATTATAGCAATGATGCTCGACATCTATTTTACACATGAACAATCCTAAATAATATGTAATCGTAACGCTTCAAGAGAAAGTGATATAATGAATACACATATAATGACTTGAACCAAATGCCAAAGATAAATAATAGTATTATATATTCTATTTTTTTAATAGAATACAGTATTTGATTTTTCTGTGAAAGACATATTATAGAATACCTGTATTTCCTTTTGCAGAACTGTCTTACAAAGTTTATATAATAATTTATAGCAAAATATGATGATTATATTAATATTTCTCAAATATTTTTTTAAGAACTCTTACTCGATCAAATATTATATACATATATGTAATATATTAAAAGAAGTTGTAAAATGCAAAGTAAATATATTGGCTTGGGGCATTAGAAAGTCTGTATTATTAAATTAAATACATAAATCATCGTCTGGATCTTCCTCATCAAAATCATCTATGCTCTCTGGTTGATAATGAATTTTAGATGTACTCGTCGCATTAATCATGTACGGTAATACAAGTTCATTCCTCTGTTTCATTTCATTCTCATTTATTTCTATCTTGAAAGAAGATTCAATCTTTTGTTTCTGATTCTTATACCCCATGTCCGATTTCTCATTTTTCTCAATCTTCTCAGACTGAATTTTGTTAGATGTGTAATTTTGATTCACTATCTCTTGCTGTCGCAAGATCCCTCCACCTACTTTACGATGTACAAAATCTACTACATAATTCATATTATTGTTATCTGTTTTTGTACCAAGAAATCTTTGTATCTTCACATATGTAGTCCCTAATGTGTCAATACAGGATATCTTATCTTGTATGAAATCATTTCTATAAATACAAATTAATTGGGGCACTTGCTCGCTCAACCTCTTTAAAAACCATAAAGTCTTCGACAGTCCAATGGACAGAATCAAAGATGACAAACAATCAACTATTACTATTGATTTTATATTTATATTTTGTAGTACATGTTCCAGGTTATGAAAATCTTGTTCACGAGTTGAATTTACGTCAGGCTCGTTAATATCAATGGTATAATAATCATGAATTTTTATGTTACTTGTTGCGAATGGTCCAGGTCCGTCAAACATATATTTTGGATCTGAGAACAACAATATATCGAATGTCTGTTCAGGTTCCCTCTCCCGCCACATTTCTAGCCATCCTGCGATCAAATCTCTCGCATAAACCGCATCAACTTCTAAAATATCATTCTAGTATTAAATGAATATAACCTCAACGCAAGAAAAAAACGATGAATCCTCTTGGTGAGCGTGCTAAAGAGATGCTATACGCACCTTCGTCAAGGACGAACTCGACATCTATTTTACACATGAACAATCCTAAATAATATGTAATCGTAACGCTTCAAGAGAAAGTGATATAATGAATACACATATAATGACTTGAACCAAATGCCAAAGATAAATAATAGTATTATATATTCTATTTTTTTAATAGAATACAGTATTTGATTTTTCTGTGAAAGACATATTATAGAATACCTGTATTTCCTTTTGCAGAACTGTCTTACAAAGTTTATATAATAATTTATAGCAAAATATGATGATTATATTAATATTTCTCAAATATTTTTTTAAGAACTCTTACTCGATCAAATATTATATACATATATGTAATATATTAAAAGAAGTTGTAAAATGCAAAGTAAATATATTGGCTTGGGGCATTAGAAAGTCTGTATTATTAAATTAAATACATAAATCATCGTCTGGATCTTCCTCATCAAAATCATCTATGCTCTCTGGTTGATAATGAATTTTAGATGTACTCGTCGCATTAATCATGTACGGTAATACAAGTTCATTCCTCTGTTTCATTTCATTCTCATTTATTTCTATCTTGAAAGAAGATTCAATCTTTTGTTTCTGATTCTTATACCCCATGTCCGATTTCTCATTTTTCTCAATCTTCTCAGACTGAATTTTGTTAGATGTGTAATTTTGATTCACTATCTCTTGCTGTCGCAAGATCCCTCCACCTACTTTACGATGTACAAAATCTACTACATAATTCATATTATTGTTATCTGTTTTTGTACCAAGAAATCTTTGTATCTTCACATATGTAGTCCCTAATGTGTCAATACAGGATATCTTATCTTGTATGAAATCATTTCTATAAATACAAATTAATTGGGGCACTTGCTCGCTCAACCTCTTTAAAAACCATAAAGTCTTCGACAGTCCAATGGACAGAATCAAAGATGACAAACAATCAACTATTACTATTGATTTTATATTTATATTTTGTAGTACATGTTCCAGGTTATGAAAATCTTGTTCACGAGTTGAATTTACGTCAGGCTCGTTAATATCAATGGTATAATAATCATGAATTTTTATGTTACTTGTTGCGAATGGTCCAGGTCCGTCAAACATATATTTTGGATCTGAGAACAACAATATATCGAATGTCTGTTCAGGTTCCCTCTCCCGCCACATTTCTAGCCATCCTGCGATCAAATCTCTCGCATAAACCGCATCAACTTCTAAAATATCATTCTAGTATTAAATGAATATAACCTCAACGCAAGAAAAAAACGATGAATCCTCTTGGTGAGCGTGCTAAAGAGATGCTATACGCACCTTCGTCAAGGACGATTAATTTAGCGCCGTCTAATAAAGGTAGCGTTTTTATAGACGTCATTGCGTTAAGCGTAACTATTGCGTTATGTTATGAATAGATTCAGCTATCGAATCAACAATAACCACGCAGTTGATACGCAAACGGCGCCGAGAATCCTTCGCGTCGAGGAGCGCGTGGCAAGGTTTCAAGTCGGAAAAAGGCGATTGAAAATCTGCTCCAGAGATCGAAAGCCACGCTTGTTCGATCCGAGACGATGCAGGGGATTTGAAATCGTTTTAAACCAGAATCACATCGATGATTTCAGTTTATATTTCGTTCGCATCGCGTAGAAATCGTAAGTATAATCACGAACTATAGTAGACGAGGTAGAGGAGTGAGCGGCGGATTAAGAACGAAAAGCAGTGACACACGATCGGTATATCTGGCTTGGTGTTCGAACATCTGAAATCGGTCGGCAGATGCTCCCATGGTCGAGCCCGAAAAGGGTGCGGTAATACTTGGATCGCCATACTGGGCGAACGTGACCGAAGACAGAGCGAAAATGAATACTAGAGTGTGTGTCACATCGAAGCTACTTCGCTCATAACAAGAGGTTTTATTTTGACAGTGCGATCTGCGAGTGATCCGCGCGATGTCCGGTGAAACGGTGAGGTCTTGAGGGAAACCGAAAAGCGTCGATCCGTGCGCGTGACCGCGTAAGATCAGAAATATCGCAGCTCGGGTTTCCCTGGAGAGAAACGGGTTGTCGCTGCATGTGTCACCGTGAGTGCTCGCTGTGCTACAAGGCACCGTGTCCTGCACCAACGGCAAGTACTTTCCGTTAAACCGTTTCACGTGCGCATCGTCGGCAGTGCACCCGCGGTAGAACAGATGCGACGATTGAGCTAAATACACCTACGAATCGCCACCACCGATGAGTTTGGCCGCGTTGCGCTCTGTTCGGTGCTGCTCCTTCAACTAATCGCGTGTGTGATGCCCGGGAGTCGCTCCAGCACGGACCCAGAGCACAAGTCACCGCGGGAAAGTGGTGAAGATTCGGAAGATGAGAGCGAAATCCTGGAGGAGAGCCCCTGCGGGCGGTGGCTCAAACGCCGGGAAGAGGTATGTCCGTTTTTACGAATCTCGCCACACTTATTTGTTTATATCACGTTCGTCCATACGTTCCGGAGCCCGGTTTACGAACGTTTGGCGGGCTGAGGATCACGATGCCTGGCCTGCAAAAATTTCTAGCCGATCTTCTTCCACGACTTCGAAAAACATCATTTGTCTATTTGATTATTCACAGTGCATCATATTTTTCTATGAAAAATACCAAAGGACTGACGTTCGTAATCATGATTTTCAGCCCATCGTTTGATCTACATGTTCTCTTTGTCATAATTGCAACCTTATTACTGTATTAAGTAACATAACAATGGTGAAATATTTGTTCCTCGATGCTTCTCGTTAGCATTGTTCGTTCTAGCAGGTTATTGGGGTATTTGTACACGATTTGTTGCTGAACAAAGTGTTTGAATGTTGGGATCTGGACAAGGTTCATGCAATACTTCTGTTCTCGAAGTACTAAAGTACATTCGAGGGTTTCTTATGTGTTGATGCAATTGAAAGATAATATTATCGCTGGGAAACTGGGAGATGTATGTTTGTCTTGTAATCTTGTTTAATACTTGTGTACTTAAAAATGAATCACACACAATTGATCTTAGTTCTCGGACATTTCAAAGTTTAACCATGCTAGCTTTACGTCCGATCAGCTTCGCAGAATTTGTGTATTTCACTGTGAATTCACATTTGTGGATTGATCTCCAACAGCTTCTTGGCACTGAGCTTTTACCGTCAGTGGTCTCTTTCATATTTCATCCTAAAAATAAACTGACATAGTTGGATCATTGACTACTGCATTTAGGAAAACGTATCATTCCTTTACACCTTTCTTTAATGTTTATGTTCGATAAATGAAGATTGTTTCGTAAAGGGAGTCAGTAATGTTAAAGGAGGAAACTTATCAACTATTTATTGCTCAATAACTATTATTTTATTGTTAGGTATATGTAGGTTCCAAGTCCACGTTAGCCGAAGGCTCTACCTTTGGAGCAGCCAGAGGCAGTGAAAACGAAGTCACTGAAATGGAGGTATGTCTATTTAAAGGAAAATAGGCTATCTCTTTTATTTTACCCTGTACAATTAAAAAAAAAAGGGCATTCCATCAAAATGATGTAACGTAAACACAGGGGCTCTTTGTATACTTTATTCGAGTGCAGCCTATTGTCATGTACATTCTCTAGTGGCAATCTGTGCCTTGAATTACTTCCCCTCCTTAAATTCCTAGCAAGGTCACATTGATGTAATGGCAAATAGGCATGAAATCGTTTGAATTGTGCTTTAAGTAACTTTAAAATGGATGATAGCAGTAATGTAATTTGACCACTTCATCAGATGTATTAATAGTCTGATTTTACGCTGTGTAACTTCTGTACATTGTAAATAAATATATTAATATGTATTTTTACACGATGCTTGTAAATAAACTAACTTTGTACTTTGTATAATCGGTTTGATCGATTCCGACGAATCGTGCGTGATCGAAATGAATTGTCGTCCTTAATGAATGTCGTTTATTATTTAGGTGGAACAACGTGATGTGCCGGGAATCGACTGTGCCTATTTGGCAATGGACACAGAGGAAGGAGTTGAGGTTGTTTGGAATGAGGTGCAATTCTCTGAAAGGAAAAACTTTAAAGCGCAGGAGGAAAAGATACAGCTTGTGTTTGAAAATCTTACGCAGTTGGAGCACCCTAATATTGTTAAATTTCATAGGTATTGGACGGATACCCATAACGATAAGCCTCGAGTAAGTTATCACAGGAAAAGCTGATATATGTATATTCAAACCTATCTCGAAATGTCAATTAATCCGTCTATTGTTATTTACCAGGTCATATTTATAACTGAATATATGTCCTCCGGGTCTTTGAAACAGTTCCTAAAACGAACAAAACGTAATGTGAAAAAATTACCCCTGCAAGCATGGAAACGTTGGTGTACTCAGATACTTTCTGCCTTGAGGTAATTCAATTAATCTTTACATTCGTTTAATTAAATCTGTGTATTAATTCATTTGGTTCTTTACAGTTATTTACATTCCTGTTCGCCCCCCATTATTCACGGAAATCTCACTTGTGACACTATATTTATTCAACATAACGGGCTTGTAAAAATTGGCTCAGGTAAGTAGTTGAACGTATAAAGAACTTTTTATTCTATGGGACAGACGTGTCTTGTATTACGAAAGTACAGTTGTAAATCTGTACGATCGAAACACTTTGCTAACAAGTGTTATAGATGTATCGTGTAGCTGCTCGTGTAGGTATCGAAGAGAACATTTAGCCGTAAATAAAATTATTTAATATATAGTGGAATAGGAGTTTGCAAGGCACTTCCGTTTTTTTATTCACAGGACTATGTATATGAGAGGCTAATAGTTTTGTTTCTCATAATTTTCTTGGAAGAAAACTGTTAATCAGAATTTAAAAAAAAGACCGACCAGTGATGCTAAAATTACTACTGTGAGCTAAACTGGTATTTATTTTGTTCTTACATGGGGTACAAGCAAAGTACGTATATTGCCAATTACTGTGATTGCCTCCTCGGCGTTCATACGATAAGCCAATCTACAGTAATGAATAAGTTTTATAATACAATTGCTCAATTAATTTCTGCTCGATACGTAATGCACAAGTCGCGTCGTGTTATCTATTAATTAGACTTAACGATGCGTAAACGATACAGAGTCCGAATGTTTTTATCACGAAACATAATAATGTGTGGAAGTGGGTGTGATACTGTTATGTATTGTGAAGAAAGTTTTACTCCATGCCATAAATCAGTAATAATCTTAATCGAATCATACGATACTTTGATGGTATATAATGTATACGAAAATAATGGAATACTATTTCTACCCGAATATTCCCGATAATTATCTAGCGTTATTAGTTTATTTAGAACAATTTATTCATCATTGCTATTATGTTTACATTGTGATACGATTTTCGCCTTCTCTCTCTCCCGCTCTATCTATCTATCTTTCTATCTCTATGTCTATCTATACACCTCGCTTTTTTCCTATATACATTCGTAACTTGTTTCCTCTTGCCTATTAGTAAGATAAATCTGTTAGAAAGATTGTGTATAAATCGCTTTGTATATATTAGGAGTAACTTGAGTCCTCATTTTTAATTGTAGCAGATAGGCTAATCTAGATAATGAAAAAAACACAGCAAAATCCTTCGAACGGAGAGGAAGTACGAATCGTACTTTCGCCTGTACAAGAGGATAAAAAGTCAACTGATTACGACGGTTCTTCGATTCCGTGATGTAAATTGTGAAAAGGTGAAGAAAATACATTTGGCAGATAATCCGTCGACTATTGCCAGCTAAGTAACTTAGACAGAACGAGGTAAACATTTCCCTTTATGTATGTACCTTATATGTATTTATATAACTACATCTTAATTAACAGTAGAGTGGTTCATACGAAATATTCCGAGGTTTAGTTCAGTTTTGATACCGTTGCATTACATTTCGTGCCTCGAAATTTGACGGGCAAAAGGGTTTGAGGATCTTCATCATCTAGCACACGCATTTTTTCATTGTATTCTAATTGATTTTTGTTTTTATATCCTTCCTCTCCAATAAAATGCCCTTCTTCGTTTTCCTTGTCAGACGAAACGAAGGGAGAAAGACTATGCTCAATTGAAGTGTTTCTTTTCAGAATGCAAACATAATCGAACTGTGTAAATTACATTCTTACGACCGACTGTTTAAGTTTCGCTTATCCTATTCTCATTGTACACACTATGTTTATCTCTCCCGGAGGCACTTTCGTGTGTATGTAATGTGTATACGAATCGTACGAGGGCTCAAGTTACGCATAGGATAATTTTTCAGTTGCAATACAATTTTTCTAACGATCTATTAATTCATTTATTATACCACGCAGGTGGCGGGTATTCGAACAGAAAATACTGTCTTTTCTTTTTAAATACTTTTACACGATAGAAAAGAGAAAGAATGCCTGCTGCCCTGCAAAGAAAGTTTTTTAACGCATTGCTTGTTCAATATTTTCGTATAATCTTTAAAAGTAACGGCAGGTTCGGTTTTCTCATTCCAGTGGCTCCCGACGCGATTCATCATCACGTTAAAACATGTAGAGCGAACATGAAAAACATGCACTTCGTAGCACCTGAATATGGAAGTAAGTTTAATGTTTTTACACGTTATTACGTGTATCGGTCTGTTCTTATTCCTATGGAACATTTTCTATCTCGTGTTTCAGATTCTGTGACCCCTGCCATTGATATTTATTCGTTCGGTATGTGCGCCTTGGAGATGGCCGCATTAGAAATCCAAGGTAACGGTGATTCCGGTACGACCGTGACCGATGAGAACGTACGGAAGACCATAGAATCGTTAGACGATGCCCAGCAAAAGGACTTCATCCGAAAATGTCTTCAAATGGACCCGCTGAGTAGACCGAGCGCGAGGGAACTACTTTTTCACCCCGTCTTGTTCGAAGTACACTCGTTAAAGTTGCTCGCCGCTCACGCCTTGGTGAATTCAGCTAGTGAGTTCATCATGTTCCTCTTATCTTATCTGCTTGTTATCTTCATGGCTTGAAATGCAACTTCTGTCCCCTGTGCATATGTGCACTTTATCATTCTCTTAATGACTTAGATAACGCACGATCGTTAAAACTGAAATAAACCGACTGTTGACCTTCTCTAACTTTTTTCTTCCAGCTAACATTTCAGAAACGATAACGGATGAAGTTTTGCAAAGGCTATACGGACCTGATACGGTAGTTGCGGAAATTAAGTATCAAGGACGACCGCCGCAGCAGATACGATTAAGTGATATTCCCGTTACGGAAAAGTTAGAGAAATTCGTCGAAGATGTAAAGTACGTTCAACGATCGTTCTCGGTCGTTCGTTAAAACAAGCAATATTCATAACCGATTTCTGGGTTGACAGATACGGTATATACCCTCTGACAGCATTTATGGCGAAGCTACCACCACCTGTTCGACCCAGGGCGATATCTCCCGAGGTCACCGAATCGGTAAAGTCGGTGACACCCGAACCGGTGGACGTGGAGTCCCGGAGAGTAGTTAATATGATGTGTAACGTTAAGCCTAGGGAAGAAAGTTGTGAATTACTTGTGAGTGGCTGTAACGATGATGAATAACGATTGCCACGGTGTTTTTTCTACATTTTTCATGCTCCTGTGTTTCACAGATGACAATATTATTACGAATGGATGACAAGATGAATAGGCAATTGACGTGTCCCGTGAGTCAATTAGATACTTCGATGCTTCTCGCTCAGGAGCTTGTACATTTCGGATTTATTAACGAGGTAACTACCAATCTGTTCACTGATGAATTTTAAATGACGACAGAGGAGATTTACGAATTTACACTTTGCTACAGAACGATCGTGATAAAATAGCAAATTTAATCGAAGAGGCATTAAGGAGTTGCTTTAATAAGCAAATGATGACGCCAGGAATGGTATCGCTAACCAATCTTCCCACCCAGACTACGTTACTGTTGCCTGGACCAGAGTTTCCGTGCTTGCAACACTTCGATAATTCGATGTATAACGCGACAACATCCAATAGTGATAGTGTTATAACTAACCCGCTGCCAAAAACCTCAGGTCTACCTGTCGTGTCGAGTATCACGAACAGAAGTCAACTCGATGAAACGGAACCACCGTCGAACGCTGAGAGCGGTAGTTAACCATCCAGGATATCTGGTAACTCAGTTCACTGTGCCACTTTGCACGCTCTATGTATAGACTGGCTATGTATTTTTATATTTAAGTAAAACAGGATGAAAGAATGGAATCAAATGATTAAAGGATGATAAAAATGGGCGCCGTGGCTTAAGTATTTAGTCGAGAACGATGCTAACGCGAAATAGATTCAATTCGTATACTTTTTGTTTTTTACTAACTGCGTTCGGCACTTGAGTCATTCTACTGAAACGAATGATCAATTATTTTTATGTTTTTTAATTAAATCGTAAGGTAGAGAGATAGGTGGTAAATTTAATGAAATAAGATTAAAGAACGCGCTAATATTTCAGTTGATTATATCTTTCGAAGATGAACCGTGACAAGTATCGAGCTGCGTGTAATCATAGACAGGTAATTAGGCTGAAATAATAAAGGGCATTTTACTAACAAGTGTTTGAATTCGTCGAGAAATTTGAATAATCAAGTAAATGAGGAATACAATTTACTTACTGTCGCGAATTGACGACATGTTTTATAGAATTTTATCTTTTATATTTAAATTAATCCGAATTAACAGTGGAATAAAGAGAGGAAGTAATGATCTAATTTGGCGAGGTACGGCGATGGAAAAAATGAAATAAAAGGCGGATCGCTTCTGCATTTGTTTCGAATCAATCGTCATGTTTAATTATTTTTAATCGCTAAGGTGAACGAAAAAAATTTTAATTGGAAAAGATAAAAAAGACAATGGGAAGAGAATAGTAGCGCGTATAATGTTGATGAAATATAGAATGTAATAGAACAGTGGTCGCTCAAATATAAATACATTTGTTCTTCTTTCGCAATAATAATGGAATACAGCCACGGCCCTCCTATACTTCGGTATTATTGATGTGATTAAACCAAGGTTATTAAATCTCGATAAAATTAGCTGAGAAATCCTTGTAAATAATTTATATTTTTAAGAAGATCTGTTGACACAGAAAACTAGTCATATAGGTATATTCGAGTGCTAACAAACTAACACCGACCTTATTATGTCTTTTTGCATTTATAACACATGCTTGGCCAAGAGAATACTGCGCTCCGATTTCGTACCTTGGTAAAAACTAAAATCATTAATAAACGATGTGAAAAGAACAAAAAAGAAAATTCTCAGTGACGCATTTCACTAAGCAAACGACTAACAAACCATTTTACTAGCGGTAAAAAGAGAAAAGGCAAAATGTTAAGAAGCCGCAGCAGCAGCATCAGCAGCAGCAATAATAACATCAACAACAACAGCAACAAGAACAAGAACAAGAACAAGAACAACAAACTATTACCAACAACATAAACTTCGATCTTAAGTATGTAAGTAGATTATCGAACTAAAAATTGAATGTATAGCTTTATAATTCAAATTATAAAAAAATAAAATAAAGAAAAAAACCGGAAAAAGGAAAGTGCGACGACGACTGAAATCGTGGATATTATCGAAAAGGGCTGTACGCGATGACAGTGATAAATAAATATTATAACTCGGAATTCCACTGCCTAAAATTTGTTTTTGTTCATTAGTATGTTTGTGGTATCCCATCTTCCTCAGTTCCAGATTCTTTTGTACTCTTCCTCACACACACACACACACACACACACACACACACACACACACACACACTCAAAGGCAGACAAGAAAAAACGGTAACAGAACAAACAAAATGTGATGCGTTCTATAAAAATTTATTTGTGTGATTTTACACATTATGTAGATAGCAGAGAAAGAAACACAAAACATCTATGGTGTAAAACATTTTAATGAATGGAGTGTAATGACAAAACGTCTTTACAGATTCTTCCTTGACGGTCAATGTTCTGTCCTTAAATCTAATGGGGTAGATGAGAGAGCACGTAAATACTTGTGAAATGAAGAAAACAAGTGCGTACGTGTGTATGAGAGAGTGGGAGAACTTGTGTACATTTTCCAATCTGTTTATTAACACACTGCAAGCGTAATGTAATACTCTTACAACGCTAAATCTTTGTTACGTGATATAAAGAACGAAACTTTGGATGACGATGATGATAATAAATTTTTTCTTAAAAAGTACAGTCGTTCGTTTGATAAAATCGTACCTTACAACCTAAACCTTGTAAAATTGCCATATCTCACTTTAAGATCCATCCGTAGTGCGATTCAGCAAATAATCAAGGTCGTGAGCAATGCGATCAAGCATTCCGCTGGTCGCTGCTTCGCAATTGGTAATAACGATCTCAGGTGCTTTCTCTTCGCCGTCGGGCTGCTTTCTTTCTGTTGTATTTGCAATATCCGGGATAACGTTCACGTGTTCCCGTGATCTAAGCTCGGGGGACAGTAATTCTTCATTTTTCACGGCCAATGTCACGTCCGGCATTCCGGTCAAACGCGGTTCGATGTCGGCGTTGCACAACAGTTTCGCCGGACTCTCCGGCGACGGGTTGTGGGCTAGAAATATTTGTCCCTGGGATTCCCGGTATTTACCGAACTGTCGAAAGCTGCAGCAATCGCTGACACCGTACGTCGATTCGTTCAGGCCGCAGGAATTGGACGCGCGGATTGAAAATACATTGTCAAACGCCAGTGCCTCTTGATACTTTCGCGGGCTAGTATTGTAGTTCTCCAGATTTATGTCGTCCGTGTGGTCAACGCGGATCTCTGGCAGGAATCGGCTGGCGACGGGGACGGAAGGCTTCGAATACGCGGATGAGGACTCGTTCACGAATTCGCGCATGTCTATACCGGCTGCGATGCCTCGAGCACCTAGGTACGGATCACCACCGATACCTAAGGACGATGGTGGAGGAGCTGTGTCGTTCTCTATCTCGGCGCTACTCTTTGAACACACTGCGAATAAAAAATGTTATATACACGGGTGAATTTTTAATGAGATTTTTCACAAAGTACCTTTAATTGGCTCGGATGATATTTCTTCCTCTGTGTCCTGCTTCCATTTCAATTTGCGTAACATCAATTCGACGACTGCCAGATCACCATTCACGATGTAGACCATTATTATAACGAAGCCCTAAATTATTCGGCGTTAAGTATTTAATTAATATATTTTTGAAATTATAATATTACGAACTCACCAAAGCGGAAGAAAGCGAAGCAAATATGTAATGGAAGATGATTGAAGTAGAATTTATGTAGAAGATCGACGAAGCTTCCATTGCGATGACGCCACAGATAACTATGACAGCTCGATGAAGCATTCGCAATCTGGCTTCTATCGCTTCTTTCTTCATAACGTTCTCCTCTACGAGAGCGTGAGCCTTGTGCAAGATGCCCAAGTACAACAATACAAAAATGAGAAACATCATTGTTGCGCAAGTGACAAATATAGTATAAACTCCGCTGCCAAACATCAACCACCAAGATTCGTGTCTCCAACCGGTGCTCTTGTGTGTGAGCTCGGTACTTAACACCGCTAAGATAGGGACACCTATAAGTAAAAGAGAAAAAGATTTAAGTAATTATAATTGTAAATCATATGTAATTCTTATTTAATATTATTCGAACCGGTTATGACTGCGATTACAGTAGGCTGGAAGTGTTGACTGGATCGCACTTGAGTCAGGCCGGCATAAATGATCAGCGCTTCTGATATCGGCGCCGACATGCCGATGAGAAGAAATGCTTCCAAAGTTATTGCTACGATCGCATATGAACTCTAAGACAAAATAAATTACATTTTACGCTTCATAAATTCTTAATTACGTGGCATAAAATGTCTTTTCACCTCTGGTAAATCATTATGCACAGCGTAAATGAAAACAGTCATCGCTCCGACCAGAGCCCCGCAACATTGAAGCTTTAAAAAATTTAGCCAGCTTCGATTCTTCCACCAGAACGATCCTAGAATGACACAAGAGAGGAGGCATTGCGCCAAACAGCTGCCGCAACCGAATACTACGATGAACGTGGTCTGCTCTTTTTTTGCCAAAACTACCTGAAGATAATCTTTGTTGTTTCACAATTTAAAGAGAGATATTCGATACACATTGCCTGACACTTACTCTGACGGCACGTGCCGTTAGGAGCACCGCGAAGCTGCCGGTAGTGGGACACTGACAATGGGTTGCGGCGTCACCTGGCGATGTGTTGGCCACGCAGCTGTTCAGATCCCAGGTGCCGGTGTCGTCCATAAGGCCGCACGAGACATTCCACGAGCTCGACTGGTTCTGCACGTGCTTCAGCTGCAGGTCCACCCAGATCTTATTATGTTTATCCATACTGAATGCAGGCACTGCGACCGTGATCACCCGGGAATTGACGCGGAATTCCAGATCCGTTCCATCGCTTAATCATTGAGAAGAAGTTAGGAAATCAAAGATTGTATAATATTGTGATCACTTACTTGAGTTCTTTGACATATGTCGCTGGAAGAAAATGAGATATGTTTTTATAAACGATAACGATTGCCGTTAAAGTGCTGTTGTTCTTTAAACCGCGTTGACGTTTCTTCCACAAACGTATTGCTATTTTGTCATCGTACCAATTTGGATATCTATAAACAAGAAGTGAACTAACTATTTTAATTAAATACATGAATTAATATATTTTCAATGAACAATAACTACGTAGAATCATCCATGGGGATTTGAAGGGAGTGAGTCACACTGTCTCCGTTGTGTTGATGCAGTTCCTGAACATCCACCACCACCGAAGAAAATGATAAGTGTTTGTAAGAATGATCGGTCAATCTGGACCATTGTATCAGACTCCGTCGAATAATTTGCAATAGCAGCAATACTTTCTAAAAATGATAAACTCCAAGATTCAAATCGAATTGAAATAAAGTTCCTTTAATTTACCTGTTGACTTAAAATCGAATTCTCGTCGTTTAGTATACGATTAATTATGCGTATCAGTGGTTCCGTGGAGACGTGCAAGTCGGATTGATTAAAATCTTGCTGATAATTTTCTATTTCTGTCAAGATACTCAAGATACGATCTCCTTCGCCGGGATAAAGAGGCAGGGCACGCGACCGTAGAATTTCCCAAAATGTGCAAATCGTTTCGGAACCAGTCGTGTTCTGGTAGCCCAATGTTAGGCTTTTAAATCTATTGTAACATGGAACCAGCAATTCGTATAAGCAGGAAGAGAAATCAGGTGTCTGCCATTCAGGAGTGGTCGCGTCTTTCATCGAGCACAGCCGGGAGACCTTCTTGCCCGTAAAAGATAGCGGGCATTCCAACAAAGCTTCAGACCCAGGTGCAGTGTCTGGCCAAAGCAGACCCCATGATTTGTCCCTCAGGCAGATCGGTATCACAGTCCTGTTCACGACTTCCACGCGAACCGACATAGACTTGTCCGCGACGTTGCAAGTATATATCGCGGATTTCTATAAATAAAATAAAATACAATACTTCATGAAATTACTCTGATCGATTAAGGATTATACATAAACAATACTAGCACGTTGAATTTGTTATTATAGATTTGTATTACTATTAAAAAGCTACCTGTAAAATTTTAAATCAATTCACGGGTTTTTTTGAAAAATTATAGTGACTTAAACTTTGTATGT